TGGGTTTGATTTGGGTGTTTGTATGTTTAGGGGTTTGAATATAGGTGATTAGGGGGTCACCGGTCCCTTGTCGGAGCCACCGGTCCTTGTCGGAGCCACCATAGTAGGTGGCCGGAGGGGAGGCTCATCTCCCCTCTCGGTTAAAGGAAATAAAATGAAAAAGGTGAAAAGGTGAAAAAATAATTGAGATGATAAACAAATGGATTAGGGGTTTTTTAAGGTTAAAATGAGTATATAAACTCACCAAAATGACGTCGTTTCCCCTAGTCCTCACCTGTGTTTTTCAAATTTTAGAGGTTAATAGCACCCTAGGTCCCTCGTTCTTGTAACTTCTTTATTTCGGTCATGAAATGAAAATGGGTTAATGTTGTGTTCGATCCTATATATCTTGCCATATTTATATTTTAGTCACTCTCTATTATGTTAATATTATGGGTTATAAACACAGGAAGGGTATTGTGCTTCGTAATATATCATTCTAGTCGCTATGTGTTTTATTTATATGTTTGGGTTAAATATTTGATTTAAGTTGTTAATTTAAGATTTATTCTATTTTAGTCCTTCATTTATTATATATAAGAAAATGCATTTTTTACTTTAGACCCCTTTTGATTTGATATATAGTTATTTTGGTCATTGTTAATTTAATTTTTTTTCCAATTAAAATGCTAATGATAAATGTCTTATAGGCCCTCTATATTTTCCATTTGCTTTAAATTTGGCCCTGTTTATTTATATATGTATTTTTTTCATGTGCTTTGATTTTTTTTTACAAGTTGTACTGTATTAAATATGTCTATGTATATTTTCATTTGGAATTTATCATGTTTACTTAGTTATATTTGTGTATACGTATATATTTCTTTTATAATGTATTTTAATTCTGATATTTATTTACGTATATTTATGCGCATGTGTTCTTGGGTATATATATATTATGTACTGTTCGAAGGTAGGTATATTTTTATTTTTTATTCAAAAATTTTTATGTGATTTAATACATTTGTATTTTATTTTTATTAAAAACATTATTTTTAATGTTTTAATATTTATAAGATCTTCTGTTATTAGACTCACATATGAAAGACTTCTGAAAACCTTTGGTGCCCTTCTAATGATTACTCGATTCGATTCAAAATAATTTGACTAAGGGTAATATCCGTTAATTTTAGAATTGTTGTGAAGTAACTGTCTTAACGTATAAGAAAGTTACTTTCGATAATTTTAAAATTAAAGTGTATCTCATTAAGTGAAAGGAATAAAATTGATTACATTTAAAACTTGGGACTGAGAAAAAAATTATGTTCTTTTAATTAAATTCATCGAGAAAAGATTATTAGATCGGATCTAAGGTCCCGTCTCGATGTATTTATATATATTGAACATCCTTATTTTCATTAAAGGTTGGTAAAATAATTAATTAATCGTATTTGTTTGATATATGAATTTAATTTTCGTTTGATTTTGTGTATGTTTTAATATGATTTCAAAAATAAATAACACTTGAATTAATATTGAATTTTAGGATGAAATAGTAATATTTCTTTATTTCGATAGGAGTAATAAATGTCTACTTTAAGGCATGAGAGATCATTTTTTCTCTATAGGAAATAATTAAATATCACCGTTTTTCATCTTAAAATTCAGATAACGTGTTTTAAAAAGAAAATTTTAAATTTAATTTGTTTTATTTTATTTTATTTTATTTATACATTTGAATTTAAAATTAATAATGAACTTTAGAAATGAATTGTAACATTTCTTTATTTCGATTGGAGTAAGGAATTGACTGCTTTAAGGCATGAGAGGTCGGTCCTTCTCGATAATAAATAATTAAATATTATTGTATTTCGTTCTAAAATTCAAAGAATATAATTTGTATGAGATCTTAAATTAAATTAAACTTGAATTCATAAATTTCATTGCAAAGATAACTATTAATCGACTATGTAGCGATTTAGGGCGCTATGGGAGAGCTAATCCTTCCCCACGCGCAACCGAGTCTTGAACTCAAATTTTTGGTAACGCATACCGTAGTTTGTTGTTTTAATTAAAATTAATACTTTTATTAAAATGACAAATATATTTTTGGGTGCCCAATCACACCCTAATCAAATATTAGTGGCAACTCCTTGAACCATGTTTTATTATTAAAAGGTCACCAAATTATTTGAGACGAGATCTTTTAAAAATCACATAATTTAAAAATTAAAATTGGTTTTTTTAAGAAAGATCGTTTCGACACTTTTTTTAAAAAAAATTAATGGTAGTCTGAGTTGGAAATTAACCTACTGACTGAGATATGATAAAGTCTGATCTAATAATCTGAAATGACTATCTTATCTCAATCAGCATGTTAACGTTCAGCTCATACGATCATTTTTTTTAATGGAAATGACTAGTTTTGAACATAATGAATAGTCGGGTGACCGTTTTATAACTTTTAATAGTTGATGGACTCAACAAAATAACTCCTTATAGTCAGAGGGTCATTTTGTAACTTTTAATAGTCGGTGGACTCAACAAATTATTATCCTATAGTCAGGCGACCGTTCATATACTTTACCCTAAAAATTATTGATGAACAATCAACAATAGGTTGGTATAATAGAATGAAACACTAGATCTTTAACAAGGTCAGGAGTCTAAATTTTGACTATTATGAATGGAGTAAACTGAGTTGGGAGGGTCACCCCTATAATGAATCATTGCAAAATGTGATATGGACTAGTCAATTGGGTAAAGTATACAAATGGTCACTGAACTTTTCAAATACTTACAGTTAAGTCCCCCAACTTTTAATACTTGCAATACAGTCACCAAACATTTAGTTCATTTGCAATATGGTCCCCAACGTAACGGTCGTTTCACTGCCGTTAGGGTAAATTATATAAATGGTCACTGAACTTTTTAGGTGCTTGCATTTAGGTCTCCCAACTATTAAAACTTGCAACACGATCATCAATTACATTCTAAACCCCAAATTCCAAAATACTTCAATTACATTCTAAACCTCAAATTCCAAAATATTTTAATTACATGCCCAACCCCAAATTCATAATTCAATCTCAAAATATGTCATAACAAATTGAACTTGAAACAACAACCCTAAACTCTCAAAACATAACCCTAAATGCTAAATTTCTCCACCAATTTTAGGTCCATAACAATAAGTGATTATGTTGGGTTTAGGATTTAAAAGTTAGATTTAACCAACTATAAGTGAACAATACTCAATTCGATTTGAAAAAAAATATTTTTCGACTTGAATTGATTAAAAAAATTGATACAAATTGACTTTGAGTTGTAATTTCATAAATTCAACTTAAAAAAAATTCAAGTTAAAATCGAGTTGTAAAATACAACTCGAATATCTTAAAAATTTTAGTAATTAGTGGATTAATTTTAAAGTTTGAGTCAACTCCCTTGACTTTGTGCGATATATGTATATCACATATGGAAAAAATATGAAGAAATATATGTATTGTATATGGTTAAAAAACTATTTAAATTAGAATCAAATAATATTATAGTATTATAAATATTTCTAATTAAATTTAAACAAAAACTCGAAAATTCAATTCAAATCGACTTGCTTTAAATTTTATAAACTCAAATCAAAAAAAAATTGGGTCAACTATTTTATAAACTGAACTGAATTACAATCAAATAATATTATAATATGATAAATGATTAAATTTAAAAAAAAAACTCGAAAATTCAATTCAATTCGACTTAAATTTTATAAACTCAAACCGAAAAAATTCAGTCAACTATTTTTATAAACTGAATTGAGTATTTAGGTCCAACATAACCCTAAACCCAACATAATCACTTATTTTTCACTTATAATTGGTTAAATTTTTTTGAAACGGATATGTTTTGAGGGTTTATAGTTGCTTCTTCAAGTTTAGTTTGTTATGGAAGATTTTGAGAATGGATTATAAATTTGGGGTTGGGCATGTAATTGAAGTATTTTGGAATTTGAGGTTTAGAATATAATTGAAGAATTTTGGATTTTGGGGTTTAAAATGTAATTGATGAGTCTATTGCAAGTTTTAAAAGTTGGGGGGACCTAAATGCAAGTGCCTAAAAGTTCAGTGACCATTTATATAATTTACCCTAACGGGAGTGAAACGGCCGTTACGTCGGGGACCATGTTGCAAACGAACTAAATATTTGGTGATTGTATTGCAAGTTTTGAAAGTTAGGGAACCTAAATGCAAGCATTTGAAAAGTTCAGTGACCATTTGTATACTTTACCCTAGTCAATTAATAGATTGAATACAAATAGTTAAATTAAAAAAATTATCGAAGAACAATTAATAATTTCCTCCAAATGGGAATCAACCAGGCTCTTGAGATTTTTTGCCCTAATCTGAACGCAACTGGCAGAATATATAGCTTTCTTTAATTAGTTTAGTTCGAAAGGCAAAGCAGAAGAGTAGTTGAGACACGAGACAATCAGTAACCATAAGCAAAAAATCAACAAACTTATAAAGCAGTTAGTTAAAGTTTTATACGTAATCTTAGGTCATGCAATATTTGCTCCTTCAATATCTCTCTCATTTCTTTACTTTAATTTATACACTTCAAATATATATACATATATTTTATGTATATATGTGATGTACCAAGTTTGAACTTCTTTCTCATGCAAGCACTGCATTTCACCTACCGAATAACAAAAACAAAACAAGCTTTCTTTCTACATATAAAAATAATGCGATATTGACAGAGGGGTTCATTAAAAATTGAGTCTTTCTTCAATTTAGGGTTTTAAGATCTTGTTCTTTCCTTTAATTTAAGGATGAGGTAAGTTTATGATTGAATTGGATGGTGATGCAGTTAACCATTGCTATCAACTCCACCTTGTACCTATCTTTTGGTTTTGTTCTTTGTTTCTCGTATCCGTATCGCAACATAGATTGGTTGTCAGTTTTTCAACAAAAGAAGCTGGCAATTGCATGCAATTTCCTGATTTTTTTCTAGAATTCAACACCCTTTTGCTTATGAACTTCATTGAAGGTCATTAGGATGAACATGTTTCAAAACCTCATGGAGAGACTAAGGCAGCTGGTGGGTCCTAAAGGATGGGACTATTGCGTTCTCTGGAAACTGAGTGATGATCAGAGGTTAGAGTTTAAATCATGGAGTTCTGCATGCATGTGATGACAATAAATGCATGCATGCATGCATACATACATACATACATACATACATACATACATACATACATACATACATACATACATACATACATACATACATACATACATACATACATACATACATACATACATACATACATACATACATACATACATACATACATACATACATACATACATACATACATACATACATACATACATACATACATACATACATACATACATACATACATACATACATACATACATACATACATACATACATACATACATACATACATATGAACCCATGTTAATGAACGTTGTTTGTGGGGGATTTCTTCAGGTTTATTGAATGGGTGGATTGTTGTTGTGGTGGAGCTGAGAGCATTGAATGTGGCGGAGAGCTTCAATTTCATGTTACTTCAGTCCTTCCATGCAGGGATGTGATGTTTCAGCATCCTAAAACCAGATCCTGTGAATTGCTTGCCCATCTTCCTTCTTGCATGTCCCTTGATTCTGGGTATTGTTTACCTTAACGTTTATCTCTCTCTTTCATTCTTTCTCCTTCTTCTTTTATGAGTGTTTTTTATGAGTTTACACTAAACAGAAGTCATGCACAAGCCTTGATTTCAAATCAACCCAAATGGTTAAACTTCTCTAATAATTCAGATTCAAATGTTCTGGAGGTTAGTAACTAATACATCTTCAAGCCTTATTCTTCAATAATCTAGAAAAAAAACTAAGCTCTTTGATCTTCTTACAATCTTTTTGCAGGATATACTTGGAACTAGGATTTTGATTCCAGTTGCAGAAGGACTGGTTGAGCTTTTTGTTGCCAAACAAGTATGTAGTTTTTGTTTTTTTTTTTTTTCTCATTGGTTTCAAGCAGATTATGATGTTTCAAGCAAAATTAAATGTTGTTAAAACAGGTATGCGAAGACAAAAATATCATGGATTATATTGTGACCCTCTGCAACATCTCATTGGAGCAAATCTCAATGATGAATTCAAGTTCCATGGATACACATTTGAATGTACTTGGATCCCAAGCATTGAATGAGTTTCATTTAAATCCTCTTTCAAGCAATGAGAATGATGAAATGGATTCCATCAATCATTTCCAACCGCCATTGGCGACGACACTCGAAACTTTGAACCTACCATATGACATCTCCATTGATCAGATTCGATCGACAGACACCCTGCAGCAGTATCATTATCATTCAGAAGATAAAACCAACCATATGGATGCATGCGTCGAGGGGTCTCATGATGTATTCATTTCAGACAAGGTTGTTAACCCACACAAGGATATTGGACTTCAAGAGATGGATCCGTTGAATTCAATGATGACCAATGAATCAATCGTCATCCAAGGGAATGAAAAGGACTCCATAAAACAAGAGAATGGACGGTCGGATTCGATTTCGGATTGCAGCGATCAGAATGATGATGAAGATGATGCAAGGTACCAAAGGAGAGCAGGGTCCAAAGGGCAGTCCAAAAACCTTGTCGCTGAGAGAAAAAGAAGGAAGAAGCTTAATGAAAGACTCTATGCTCTTCGATCTTTGGTTCCCAAAATCTCCAAGGTACTTAATTATCAATTTTCCTATGTACCTTTAGACAAAAATAGATATGTTTTGACATGTATTTTCATTATTGTTAGCTGGATAGAGCTGCAATCCTTGGAGATGCGATTGAGTTTGTGAAGGAATTGCAAAACCAAGTGAAAGAACTCCAAGATGAACTTGAAGAACATTCGGATAACGATAATGGTGCTAAGAAACCAGGCACGAATGGAGTCCATAAAAAGTTCCAGTCTGAGATTTTCTTACAAAATGATCAAATCCCTGTATATTCTAACCCTGAACATGATAAAGGACCACATAGCTTTCCTGTCGGAGCCCAAAACCAAGATGTGGACCTATGTACACACAAGACACAGCAAATGGAGGTAAAATCAAATCAAATACATATATATTCTCATCCGTTTGTTGGTGTTTAAATGATAATTTAAGAAAGACGGGATGTTTAGGTACAAGTTGAAGTTGCTCAAATCGATGGAAACCAGTTTTTTGTTAAAGTTTTTAGTGAGCACAAACCAGGCGGATTTGTGAGATTAATGGAGGCTTTGGATTCATTGGGGTTGGAAGTAACAAACGCAAATGTAAACAGCTTCAGAGGCCTTGTTTCAAATGTTTTCAAAGTAGAGGTAATTCATTTCAGAACATGGATATATATATATATATATGTAGTGCATATAAATTTACGAGATCGACTAAAATTTACCCTTCTGGTGGTAGAAAAAAGACAGTGAGCTGCTTCAGGCTGATCATGTGAGGGACTTGTTGCTTGAGCTAACCCGAAACCCTGCCAAGGGGTTGTCCGAGATGGTGAATGCATCGGAGAACAACGGTGGCGTCGAGTATATGCACCACAATCAGCAGCAGCACAACCAGCTCCATCACTTCCCAAAGCAATTGGCATGATCTTTCATCTTTCTTTCTTCAAGCTGTGCATGAGAAGAGGGACTTTGGACCTTTTGTATCCCTTTAGCTTATAATATATTTATGCCGTTTCATTAGGAAAAATTCCTAGAATAATATGCTTGATATAAGCATTTCAGTAGACAGATAAGACCACCAATGGTTGATCTGTTAGATTAGTTTTTATGTTAAGGTTTGCTGAAAATCACTGAATCAATCAAGGAACTTAAGACTAGCACCAAATCACTGATCTAATGAACTATTCAATTATATGTTCTCTTACAAAATTTGGATTGGCTTATGAATTAACGTAACCTGAAAAAGTGTTCTCCTAATTGGATCAGTAAATTTAAAAAAAAAAAAATTCTCCCAATCGATTCATTAGTACCCATCCAAACCAATTCTGGTCAAGCACTAATATATTTTGACACGAGTATGTTACCCTCTTTCCAAGAGACATGTCTAATATGATGTGTCGTGCCATCACTTTCAAATTCTAGGATCTTCCATTTCCTTTCCGGTATGAGATTAATATTCACTACCTCTCCAAGGTATTTTTATCCACTCAATCTTGTGACGTTCTCGTCATGGACCAAGATTAATCCTTGGGTCTAAGATCAATCCCCTTTAACCCATTAGTATTTTTCTTAATTTAATCATCAATCACATTTAACTTGAATATTATTTTTTTCAATCGTTTATCAAATAACGAGTTTAGTGTAGTGTTGATTTATCCACAGATCTTAAGATCAATCCCTTTTAATTAACCCCATTAATGAGATGATAAATTGGTTTGATTAAAATTAAAATGAAAGGTAAGTGATCTAATTGCTATTTGTTTTTCAATTTCAGTGGTCAAATTAAAACTTACCCATAATTTAGTAACCAATAGGGTAGTTTGCCATAATTTTATTATTGTTTTGGGCCATTATGGGCTAACGTTTTTATAAATTAGGGTAAAGTACACAAAAGGCCCTCCGACTATAGGGCCATGCTTTGTTAACTCCCTCATTATTAAGAGTTACAAAGTGATCTCTCGAGTATAGAGTATTGCTTTGTTCAGTCCCTCGACTATTAAAAAATACAAAATGGTCACCTGACTATTCATATATTTCAAACTTGTCATTTTCTGTTAAAAAATTGATGGTCGTTTAAACTAGACGTTAATCTACTAACTAGACTATGATAAAATTATATTTTAATTATGTCTACTGGCATCGTCGTTACTTTTAAGCACTAACTCGATGGCATAATGTTTCAAACAGTAGCTCGATGACATAATGAAAATGAAGACTCGATCCATAAAATACACCTTAAACGATTATGTGATCACATTTTATCGTATCCTAATCAACAGGTTAACGTCCAACTCAAACGACCATCAATTTTTTAACAGAAAATAACAAGTTTGGAATATATGAATAGTCAGGTGACCATTTTGTATTTTTTTTAATAGCCGAGGGACTCAACAAAGCTACACCCTATAGTTGGAGGATCATTTTATAACTTTTAATAATTAGAAGACTCAATACAGTCGGGTATTATTTTTGTACTTTATCTTATAAATTAAGAGTATTGTTTGAAACTTTAAAGTAAAGTTAATAGAGGCAGACCTTTTTTCTTTATTTATTTTTTATTTATTTTGAGAACTAAAGGGTATACTAATGTTAAACTAAAAGACAGCAGTCCATGTGGGTATAAGAATTGAAATTAAGGTTTTCAATATTTTTAGGTTTTTTAAGATTTCAAATATATATATATATAATTTGAAGTTTTTTACTTCAAATAAAACTTTCAAAATCATATAAATGTAACACATGTTATTTAACAAAAAAAATTTAACGATTGTTACAATTGAAACACTTAAAATAATAATATTTATAACGTTAGACACCTAGATTAATTAAAAAATAGTTTAAGCACCTAAATGAAAAATGGTATAATTTGCACATTAAACCTAAAATTTATATACTTCTTTATATTTCTTACTGATAATCTAATTATGCACCTTATGAAATTTTATAATTCAACACCCCTAAATTTTTAGTATAAATTCTTAAGCCCTAAATTTTTAGTATAAATTCTTAAGCTCAAAATCGTGAGTACATCCCTTGCGTGGCAATGTAATTCTTAACATGTGATATCAGAATCGGTTTACCTCACCTTAGCATGGATCTAGAGACATGGGCAGTCTTCAAACGTGCCACATTCCAAAAAGGGGCATGGTCACATATGGTTCTCATAGATGCGACAATGTGCACGACGGTTTGCTCAATAAAATAGAGCAAATACAAAATGCATATCATTCTTTACCCTTCAATAATATGACAAGGTAATATATATATATATATATATATATATATATACAGGCGACTGTAATCAAAATTATGTACCCTTCACATAGTTGTAACGAGTTCTGCCACCACCATAACTCCAATTCTCACTACCACATTACATTTAACAATAATATTCACCAACTGGGTAACTTCAATGGTAAACCAAAGGACAAACAGTTATAATACTTGCCTGCAACAGTACTTGCTCATGAGTTAGGAGAGAGCTTCCTATTTCTCTTCATGACATTCTTCGTAAGAGCATCGGATAACTCTCTTCTTCTTTTGCAGTTGCTCTTGACGGTATTCTCTTTATTATTTATATTGTTGCAGTCCACAACTTCAGAGCACTTACCAGCATGTCTTAATTTGTCTTGAACAAAAAACTTTATTCTCCACAAAAGTTAATTCACTCTGTGAAATCCGAAACAAAAGGGAATACACATAAGTAGCTGCTTTGCAGCCTTACAAAGACATAGTAATGTATATAGAAAAGACGAATTATTAGAGACTCATTATTGGACCAAAGCATTTACCTGTGCATCTGTATCAAGATCCACCTCTTGGGCTGTTGGTTGAAAGCCTGAATTGTTCTCAGCAACTATCAAAAGAGCCTTACTAATCTTTAGGCGACAACCGGGTGAGAGCCATCCCAAGTTTTTTTTTCTCTTCAGTTGACATTTTTCTATATGTGGTCTGTAGTTAGCATTTATAAATACAAACTCAAATGATCAGGCATGTAAAAATAGACAGAAATATGTACAAGTAATACTTTAGGCAGATATATTTACAATGGAACTAGCCCAATAACCTAAATGTGATCTTTATTCTATCAACAAAAGTCAGAATTATGGCACCTCTACCAAAAACATAATAATATACATCATTTACCACAATACACTAATAAGAAATGTAACGGACTGTTTGAAAATTACCATAAAATCTAAGGCTGGTTGAAAATGAAACGGACTGTTAACTCTCTCACCATAAATCGTCAAACCATTACCACAAAATGCAATTAAAAACTAAATACTAATGATGTGAAGATTCGGATGAAGTTATATAGAAGATCAACTCCCTCCCTCCCACACCCTGAAGCAAGCCAATTGATAATATTCATAAATTTGTGCCAAATACACCAAACTCTGCATTATATATCTTCAAACAAACCTGCATTTCTGAATGACTATCTGTCTGAGTTTCTCCAATTGCAAATCAACCTCACAAAGCTGAAAGAATTGACAATAATATTGTTCAGAGTTTATGGATGAGGATTAGTAAAAATAAAAATATAAAGGTTAGATGCATTCTTCCAATTTATTTTTCCTATGCAATAGTCTTGTTATTTTACATACTTCATTGCTCAACTCTTTGGCCATGTCAGCATGAACTGCCCCTTGTGTCAGCTTCACATCTTGCTCTGCTTTTGCTTCCTCCTCGACCAGTCTTTTCTCCTGCATGTAACCTTAAGCAAGTGAACTTACACAACATGCTTGAAGCAGGATTAAAAGACTACTGAAAACAAGTATACATAAATCATCAACCATTTACCGGTGGAAGGTTCCCACACCCAGATGATGGCTTACCTCCTCAGCCACTTTAGTAAAAAGTAGCAGCCACTTCTCCTCAAAATTTTCCAATAAAGTTTTGGCCATTATGTGAACATCATGTCTTTCATCATTGTATTTCATGGCATTCTTAAAAACCAATCTAACATCAGAATAAATTTCACGTACATTCTTGTACCCAGTACAATCCTTAGCCTCCATCTAGCTTTTTATTGTACTAAAGTCCATAGGCTTCTGAACTACCTAAAATGCACAAACTTGTGATGCATCAGCAAAAGCATACATATTAAGGAATAAATAGATTAAACAATCAAAATTTAAGAAATAAAGATTAGTGAGCGGTCTTTATGTACGTGTGCACAAGAAAAATTGGTACAGTGAATTTCTAAAGCAAGGAAAAGAGTCGAATATAAAGGCCAACAAAAACAGAAAGTATGTCTTATAAATGAGAAAGCCAATCAGAAACTATTGAAACAATCAATAAGCTTTACCTCATAATAGTCATGCAACCTAAGACCTTCGACGTCAACCGGATGCATAAAAGGATGTGCCCATTTGTGCTGAGTTATCTGAAAATGGGAGGTACAATTGAAATTAAATAGAAATTATGAATAAGAATCAGCAATGAGGCTTACATTTTAAAATGCTGACCTCATTAAGTTTCAACAAAAATAGTTTAATTTTGAGGCAAGACCGCATTATTTTTCATGCAATTAAAGGAATGGGAAGTGTATATTCAAAATTTTATTGATCTGCAGCAAATATAATAATATTTAAAATGAAAATTCTCTCTCATTTTTTTTTTGAGGGTGGAGTCCAACATAAGAATAGGCAAAATATTCCCCGTAAAAGAAGAAAAATGATTCAGAAAAGAGAGAGCAAAGATAGAATGGTGATGAAGAATCAAGCTCCAGCATATCCTGCTTCTGGCTTAAAGGGTAAAACTTTCAAAAAGACATTTTCCATGTCAACCATCTGTAAGAGAAGTTTATACATCAACCAAATAAAAGAAGCACCTGACATTCTTGTAAGACCAAGACAACGTCTTACAAACAATATTTTAAAATTTTCTGATAAAACTTAGCTTTCTTTGTCCTCGCCT